AGGGAGAAACGAGACATCCAAGATAGGGGAATAGGAACAATGATTTCCACAGAATGGAAGCCAATTCCACTACCGTGGATTAGGAGTCTAGGTCTTTTTTTGACCAGGAGAAATCCACGGGTTAGAGAGCCTATTCCACGACCCAACAACGAGTATAAAGGCCCATTTTATGCATTTTTGGAAGGGGCGAGCTGGATTTTGGATCCCAAACACCCAAGGGACGAAACCTAGAGAGAGCAACTTGGAATCATTCTTTGAGCTATTTTGGAGGATTTCTTCATCATTGAAGCTCGTGAATCAAGTTTGGAGATGGAGATGGAAGATCTAGATCAGATTTCTGCATTCTCTATCTTCTCTATGGAGTAACTTCCCTTCACTTAGGTTTTGAGGAACCCTATATTTGTATGCTAGGAAGATTTATATGAACCCATTTTCATGGATGATTGATTATCTTATATCCAATTGAGGCATTATTCCGAATTCCATGAGTCCTTATCGAATTCCAGTGATTTCTGCTTTAACCTAGAACGATAGTCTCTTCGTAGGTTAAAAGAGCAACCTGAATTGGAAGTAGTGACTCAATTGCTTTAGTCGAGAAGTCGATTCACTACTCTGTACTGGTGTAAACCCAGTAGAGGAATGTTGAATCTTATTTCCTTGGTTAAGTTATTCCAGTGGAGGTTAGTCACCCACAGGGTAATCTATCAAGAGGGTCTAGAACACTTTAGTCGAGACTCCAGACTGTTTGAGAACTTTCCGCAATGTAAATGTTAGCAGAATTGAATTGGGTAAATTACAACTTGGCTTAACTACAATCTAGGTGGAATCATGGCTAACTGAGTTCCCAACCAGTAACTAGATTAACTTAAACTGTAGTTTGCCAGAGTAGTTATAGTTCATCTATCTTAATTTGGTTTGCTAGATAATGAACTGAAGTTGGGTAATAGTCATTCTATAGACCCGTGGATTTGATATTTATTACCTATGCCACTATACTGCAGGCCCTTTCATTGGTTACACTTGGCCATTGTTAGAAGTTGTGTTTTAGCGAGCCATTACACCAAATAAAATCCCGACTAGAGCCCAAGTATGAACTCTAGTAGGTATAGTATAGGAATTTTTTTTAAAAATGTCAACCTAGGTTAGTCCATGTACTCTTACTTCAACCGTTTAAATCGTTATCTAACTATCGGTTTTGAGTGAAAACTAAAAACTACAATTTTAAGCAAGCAAGAAGTTAAATTGTTGTGGATTGTATATGAGAAAACTTCACCCAGGTATTGCTCCTCCTAGACTTGTATCAAGTTGCAATGATCAGAACTCTAGTGAGAAATAGTGTGTTATTATACCTCGAGGATGGCGCAACTAGTGGAAAACTCCCACTCTCTTAGCCAATCAATTAAGGAAAAGCAATTAAGCTATGAAACCTAGCTCTCTCAATCAATCGGCTAAGGATTGTTAACTAATCCCTCGTAAGTTAATCCGAAACGGCGACAAAGCGATAAAACACAATCAAATCGTGACGCTAAATAGATACTTGAGGTGTGTCCCTAATTTTCCTAGAAGTAGTTACCCAATTTGCCAAGAAGTGGGCAAGGAGGGGATTTCTTCCTTCTAGGTCAATTTGACCCAAATGAGATACGAAACCCAACACTCAAAAATCATGAAAATATCTCAAGCATTATATTAAAACACACAATCAACACACATAGAGTTCAAATCCAACAACCTATCACATTTCTAGGCAAGGGTTTACAATGCCCAAGTGAAAAAGAGAACTACTTGATAGCTAGGTTGTGGATTACAACAAAGAGGAGGGAAAGAACCATGGTGTGGTGTTTAACTTCCTTCCTTGTGGTTGCAATCACCCTTGGGAGACGAAAATATTCAATCCTCTAGCTAGGAGCAAACCCTAGAAGAAGAAGAAGACAATCTCTCCCTAGATCCCCCTTTTAAGTTTTAGCTCTCTTCTCCTTTTATACTCTAGTCGCACGCTCATCATGGGCGTGATCTCGAATCCTCGTCCGTGATCTCGAGCAAAAACGCACGGTTTCATTTAAGGCCTTCACGAACTGGATGGTATTATCACGTTCTGGTGACCATGATAACTTTTAGGCACATGAGGTGTACTAAACTTTGTGGATGTTGGTTCTCTTCATAGTCGGTTGACCGTGATAAGGTTGGTCCAACCATGATCTCCGGCTTTTTGCGCTTTTCGATCCACTTTCACCCTCTTTCATTTAATTTCTCATGCAAGGCCAATTCACCTCCTAGAACATGAAACATATTGGAAAAACGCACAACCCTAGCTTAAAATCGAACGTCAAGCGATGTAAATGCCCCAAACACCACAAAATTACGGGGTGAAAACATGTGCAATTAGACCAGAATCATAATTATAATTGCTTCATTATGGGGTGAATGTCAAATACCTAGATGGGGAGGAGGGAGGAAATGTCAATTGACTCATTTTTGGTGGACCCTTTCCAATTATAACCTTTTTTTTATTACTTTCTCTCTTTGTTGAGACTCACCTTCATTTCCTCTTCTTTTCTTTCCCGTCGACTATCTTCTTCCCTTTTCCTCTTTCTTATTTCTTCTCTCTAGCAGATTTATCGATCTACTCTTCGATGGCGAACGAAGAGAAGAACGCGACAATAAATCCGAGGGTAACCTGACCCCCAGAAAATCACCTAAACTAGGGCAACTGATCGTCCAAGCCTCGAGGCTAACTCGGCACTAACAAAACTACTCTTCGTTGGCCGTCTTTAGTCTTGTGACAAAAAAAGAGAGGTTTATTGTTCGACCTGGGCTAGTTGAGGAAGAGGAAGGAGTTCTGCTTGTGAGCAAGTTATGGCTCAACCTGGGTCTCGTATTTTTTTTTGTTTTTCAGTTAAGCGTTTCAGTTAAGATTTTGGATCCTCTGCTTTAAGAGAGGGTTCTATTAGTTTGATTCAGTGGAAATCTGATTGTTTGATTGAGATGTTTTGTCATTTGATTCATGCGTTCTTTGGAATGGTTGCTCAGTTTGGGGGGTTTGGTTCGTTACATCATGTGGGGTGCTAGGAGAAGGAGAAGAAGAAATCGCCATTGAAGGCTTATGCACAGCAACAGTGAGGCTTATTATTATTATTATTATTATTATTATTATTATTATTATTATTATTATTATTATTATTATTATTATTATTACCTTGACTTCTTCCTCCTTTCCAAGGAAAACATGGATGGAAAATTTGCAGAAGACATGTCGGGTGCGCCGTGATAGCCATGTCTCAGGGGATCGTTTCGATCCCCATTCGATTATTAGATTCCAACTCAACTAGCTTTGTTTCTTCCTCTGAATCTCTAATTATTTGACTGCTATTTGTTAGCATTCTAATTAGAATTTTGGCTTGCTGAATATAATGACTCAAGCAAAATGGATTTTGGGAAACAAATTTTTGATAAGGATTTCTCCATTTTTTATTATGAATTATGATGTTGTCATCATCACGAAGAGTAGGAGAGGAAGATGGAAAAGGGTAAACGAATGAGAGCAAATATGTCTTTTCCGAAAATGCTCCATCCGAATTGTCTCATGTCAAAATAACAAGTCAAACAAGACAATTCTATACAAATTTCTTATATAATTGGCTTATATTCTAAAATGAGACATTTGTTCCAAATTACCTCATTTTGAAAATGTTCCATCCAAACGACCTCTGACACAAATCAAGGTACAAAGAGTCAAGAATGGGACGAAACAACGCAAAATGAGTATCCATACACAACCCCATGTTGTGGCGGGTGGGATAATACTCTCCCATCACCGGCCAGGTCGGTTACAGTTGCCATCCCTGATCAAGAGTTAGTAGGAACGATAGAAGTTAGCATCATCAGTTAGTAGAATTAGTTAGCAATTAGTAGTATCAAGGGTTAGTAGTAGCAAGTAGCAACAAAAGCTAGCAAAATTAGAGAGCAGCAACAGTAGTTACTCGTTAGCAACCACAGAAGGAGTTAGTAGCTACTTGGTCATTGAGATGAGCACTAATATGATTACAAAAAATGGGCATGTTGTTATCTCTCTAAAATTTCACACTAGGAATTCCCGTAAAAATAAACTCTTCTCAAATGTTGAGTTTTGTTTAATTCTCCCATGTCAATTCTTTGGTTTTGTCAAATATAGAAATTGCGGCAAATTCCCACGTTTTCAGATCCCCACAACCGAACGGCCCAACCAGAAAGAATATGAAATTAAGAACTTATTGTTTGGCTAGATATGCGCAATTTTGAAGATATGAAAACTTACACGTGTAAAAAACACTGGCTACGTGTACTTTCCCCCCGTAAATTCGAAGACTGACACGTTGCAAAAATACGGGTAAACTAATAGTTTGTTGCTAGCTTGACAATATTTTTCTTGTCAACCCGACATAACATGGTTTGCAGCTTTTTTTCCCATCTTCATTTAATGGATATTCTTACTAAATCAGGAAGCGGGAATTACTTTGTTTCCAAGGTTGGTTTGTGACCATATGGTCAAAATACTTATTTTCTTTCCTAATTGTACTTTATTCCCTAAAAAACAAGAGAATTATTTTACCAAAAAACAAACAAGAGGCTTCCAAGTTTTATCTTTGGGTTATTAGAAAACTCCCTCGACGTATCCTCTTAAATTAACAACGGCGGCATACAAGTCATACAATCCAAAACCACGACGTTTTCGTAACCTGAAATTTAGGTCCGTCGAACTAACAAGCCGAATTAGGAAGCAAACCAAAACCAACGCAGCTGCTAAAGTTTTGCGATTAATTAATGAATTAACAGTAATTTTTTGAATAATAATTGTAAAAAAAAAAAAATATTTCAAAGCTTAGGTGACGGGAACACGAAATCAATCCACCCATTCTGTCATGCGGATGATCAGCCATTAAATCTGAATCGGAAGGCTGAGATGCGGAGCGCAGCTTATCCGCACGCATCACACGCAAACACAACCTTCCCCTCCCACCCCACCCCCCGCCTAATTTTCTATTATTTTTTGTCTTCTTCTTCTTCCTCCTCCTCCTCTCCCCTCTTCTCCACAATCCAACTAACACGGCACCCAACATTTAACACCTCTCCCTCTCTCTCTCTCTTCCCTTTTCCTCCTTCTCTACCTTCTTATTATTCCCTTTCTCTCTCTTTCACAGCTCTCATCTCCTTCGTTGTTTCTGCCTCTAAATCCCCGAGCGAGTTGCCGGCGAGGGGAATCTCGCCGGAAATTCGCTTTTCTACCTTCCTCCTCCGGAATCTGCCTTCCATCTCTTCTTCTCCTTCTTCTTGGTTTTTGTGAAATTTTAAGGGGAGAGGTCTTTTATTCTGCTGGTTGCGATTATATTGACAAAGCAACAAAAAGGAGGAGAAAATTGCAGAAAAGAAGATACAAGGAAAGAAAAATAAAAAAAGAACCAAATTATTCTGTTTTTGCCTCTCTTTCTTCTTTCGTCTTGCTGTCTTCCTTTCTCTTTCTCTCTCTCACCTCCGGCCAGCAAGTTTTTATTTTTATTTTTCGAGAGGCGACCAGCTAGCTAGCTTGCAATGCAGGGGGAAAAGAGGATCCCTTGATGCGTCTTTCTTCCCCCTCATTGTTGCTTTAAAAGTTTGCTGTTCCCTTTCTCATCCCTCCTCCCATCTCTCTCTCTCCTCTTGTTCGGCTACCTGCTTTCCCCCAATTCGCTGCTGCTCTATTTTGCCTGAACCTTGGTCCCCGGTATTTGAAGATGCTGCTATCGTGGTAATTCTCAGCTGAAGAAGAAGAAGAAGGTGCGTTGTTTCTTCTAGCCTAGCGGCTTACTTGTCGGGGGCGTTCGAATTTTGCTTTGTGGGTTGGAGGTTTTTTTTGAATCTACTTCTGGGTTTGGGTTTGAGATCAGGTTTGACTGAATGTACTTCCATGATCTGGTAGTCCCCCGCTGCTGCCAGATTTTAAATCCGGTGAATTTTGCGGTTTCTGGGTGTTTCAGATTCTTGAAGTTTCAGCTTTGGGTTTTGGAAAATCGCGTATTTGGAATAAAAAAGAAAAGAAGAGATAAAGGGTGAACTGAATTTAAAGCTGAAGCGCTCTGCTTTTTCTTTTGCCCATCCCGTTCCTCATGGCGTTGCTTTGCCTGGCATCTCTTAATTTTTGCAAACTGAAAATTCAGCTAAATCAATTGGGCCACTAAAGAGAAGAGTTCCGCCCTCTGTCCCTGCCTGGTTTGATGTTTCTGTTTTTTTTTTTTTGTTCCCTTCAATTATTTCAAAACGTTTTTCTTTCGCCCTGCGGCAATGGAAAGTTGGGGTTCCGGTTTCCTGGTCCGATTCTCAGAAAACCCATTTTTCTTGGCGTCCCCCAAACGGTGCTTTACTGTTTGGTTGTCGTTAGGTAAAGAAAAACAAACCCCTTGTGGCTTTCGTTTTCATGAATCCATCAAGATGAAATTGTGGAAAACCTCAAAGAGCAGAACTGTGGAAAGTGTTTCTCAAGTTATATGGGTAAAAATGAAAGTCCTCTGGGTTTGCTTCCCTGACCCTCAAAAGATTGCAGAGTTTTCCATGGAATTATTCGTTGGTTTTTCCGTGCGCTGCAATTTAGTAACTGCTGTACGTTACCCATTTCTTGAAGTTATGTCTTGATCTGTTTACTGTATTATTATTATGATTAATTTTTTCGCTGAAGTGGACACCCTCCTTCCCTCCTTCCTGTCATCGTGTTTGTTTGAGTTGTGTGGGTGATGGGTGTTTGATCATTTCATTGCTGACTCCTTTGAGGAATAAAGGGGAATGATGAACCTACTGGACAAACTATTAATCCCGAATGAGTTTGTTGTGTTGCAGTTTTGAAGAGCTTCTGATATCCTGTATATTACTAATAGAGAAAAAGCTGCACCGTTTGAGATCATGGATCAAAGGGGCGGTACTGCTTCCTCGCATTTCTTTGAAGATATTCGTCTTCCCGCCGAGGTATTCTGCTTCTGCTACCTGCTATTAGTCTATGAAGTGATGTCTTGGGGTTTGGTGCACGAGTCAATTGCACCTTCCCCCCATGTTTTTAGAATTTCTGTCTGATCTGTGTCTTTCTCTTGCTTCAAATTCAACATTCACTCACTCCGGAGGCATGTTGTAACTTCTTGTATTATTGTCTTGCTGAATTCTTGGTGGTTTCTGCTGTGTAGAGACAAGTTGGGTTTTGGAAGCCATATGCAATGATAGATCATCAAGGTGAGGATCATTCGTATCTATCAAATTTAGTCAACAATGCACTTGGTTCCTAAATAGGGGCCTTGGATGGTCTTTTTGAGAGAAACAGTATTGCATTTGATGTTTTTGTCTGCGTGGATTAATCTTTCACTCTCTGATTCTGTTGTGGATTTCTTCCTTCCGTAGGTGCAAATGGAACTGTACCAATGCCTAGCAACAAGTTTGTTGCTTCATCGCCCTTTGAAACCCTTTCTCCATCCAGTGCACTGTCACTGGAGGTGCCCCGTTCAATCATGACAAGGGGTAGCTATGAAAAGCTGCGCAATGGTGAAGGAAGTGCCAATGTTCCCAAGAGTGCATGGAACTCGGTGGATCACCAGCCAAACTCATGGTCAAGTTTGTCTGCTCAGCCTGCAGCTCATAGTTTGGGCAGAAATGGAGCCAGTATCACTGGAACGGAGTGGGAAAGCAGTCTATTCTCAAGCTCGTTTTCTGAAGTATTCAATAGAAAAAGTAAGTTTCATTTCATCAAATCTTCAAATCGTTTATTTAGGTGGATGCTCAATGTTGTGGGTTTCCTGTGATGGGAACCAATGGTTATCATGGCTTTGCATGTGGATTATGTAGAAAAAAACATTAAAACCATTTTCCAGATAGGTGTCCTCATCAGAAGTTGTGCTGTCTTAACTAGCGGTCCAATGTAATTTCATGACCCTTAGCAAGACAACATTTTTAAACTTTCATTACCTCTTATATTTTAGAATATGAATCGACATCCGTTGAACTTGCGCTGACTAAATGTTCCATGGATGCTCTGCAGTGAGATTGATGGGGAATGATGTTCAATCCCATGAACCTGCAAAAACCACTATTTCTGCTTTCGAGGAGGAAGAGCCCTTTGAATCTATTGAAGAAATTGAGGCCCAGACTATAGGGAATCTTCTTCCTGCTGAAGATGATCTATTTTCTGGGGTCACTAATGAGTTGGGCCGTACTGTTAATACCGCTGCTGGAGATGATTTAGAGGATTTTGATCTTTTTAGCAGTGGCGGAGGATTGGAATTAGAAGGGGATGAGCAAATGCTTGCAGGGCGAAGAAATCTTGATCTGTTTGGACTTTCCAGTGGTTCTATCACTGGTAAACACCCCTTTGGTGAACTGCCTTCCAGAACACTGTTTGTGAGAAATATCAACAGTAATGTGGAAGATTCTGAGCTGAAAACTCTTTTTGAGGTGTGTACTAGTCGTTTTCCAGTGATTTATGTTGCATCAGAATAATTGGTTATCTCTTATCTGATTAGTGTCATGACGTTTCTCATCCTTCTTCCAGCAATACGGGGAGATCCGAACCCTGTATACAGCTTGCAAACATCGCGGTTTTGTCATGATCTCCTATTATGATATAAGGGCTGCTCAAAGGGCAATGCAATCACTTCAGGACAAGCCTCTGAGACGCAGGAAGCTTGATATTCACTTTTCAATTCCTAAGGTAACTGGATATTGTCTTCTCCTTACAGTATGTTATGTGCCCTTGTTGGAAGCAGTTGCTTTGTTCATTTAGAGCTTTGTGTAAGCTGATTTTTTTGCTGTCAATGTAACAGGAGAATCCTTCAGAGAAAGATGTCAACCAAGGCACCCTAACGGTCCTCAACCTTGATTCTGCTGTTTCTACGGATGAGCTTCATCAGATATTTGCTGCTTATGGAGAAATCAAAGAGGTATTGTATTTTTTCCTTGTTAGAATTAATTGCGTAATGTTTTCCCAGTTCACACTTGTTATCTGTGGGTTTTTCAGATTCGTGACACCCCAAATAAGCAGAATCATGTACTCATAGAGTACTATGATGTCAGAGCAGCAGAAGCAGCCCTTAATGCATTGAATAGAACCGACATTGCCGGCAAGCGGATTAAGCTTGAACCTAGCCGAATGGTTGCTTCGAGAAGGTGATTTTAACTTGCAGTTTGTGTTGTCGTTTAATTGTTTGTCTCAGAATCAATGTTGCGTAACAATCCTAGAAGAAAGAAAAGAACGGATTGTTATCTGACCAATGTTTGTTTAGATATAGCATGCTAAATTAGGATGAAGTACCATTAACTATTTTCAGAAATCGCTAGTACATCAGAAGCTGTCTTTTGTACATCCAGTTCTATTGGCCTTTCCATTTGATGTTTCAAAATTTCCTTTTACAGGTCGGTGCAAAGGCCAGACCAGGATCAGGATGAATCAAATTTTGGTAGTCAATTAGATGACTTGTCATCTATGAGAATGGGTAGGATTATTTCCTGTAATTTTGGCTAGCTGAATAACAACTACCTAGTTTCATCAGTCTGCTTATTCATAATTAATTTCTCTTGCAAGCAGCATTTTCCCCTGGAGTTATTGCATCCACTGGCATGGATAGTGGTTCATCCCATGTTCTGCATGGTGCACATTCCCCTGTGGGGGCATTTATTGAGCCTCATCGAAGTTCTAGTGTTCCGAATCCTTTACTTTCTCCAGCGACAGCAACATCAGTGGGCAAGCAGTTTAGTCATCCTGAACAGAAACATTCCATTCAGGAGATTAGGTTTGGTAACCAGAGCATGCCCACTTTCCATCCTCATTCCCTTCCAGAATATCATGATGGTTTGTCCAATGGAATTCCATACAACTCCACAAACGTCCTAGGAGGCATGGCTGGCAGTGTTGGTTCGAAACTGATGGAGGGAATCAATGGTAGACATGTTCGAGGGGTAGGTTCTAATATGCGCATGATGGAACTTGCTGGACGTGGTACGTTCTCTCTTTGCCTTTTTTATGCTGCATTTGGTATTATTTCTGCAACTTTGTGAGTTATCAAGGCACAGTACTATTTTGGGAAATTTAGCACTGGGAGTACTCAAGATCTTTATGCCTGATTTATCAGTCTATTAATCGGCATAACTTGCAGCTGATGAGTGGCTGAAGAAAGATATGGTTGAAATTACAGCCCAGTCGGATCAACATTAGTGGGCTATTGCAGGACCATAGAATAGGCCTTAAGGGAAACGTGCTTAGTGATCCAGTGCCATGTAATTGGTTCATCTTGATACTGGACTGCTAGCTATACCTTATAAATTGAGTTTCTTCTGCATAGGAATCTATTGATCATGTTTATTGCTTCTTGACGAAATGAAACTGACTTTCTCTTAAGGCTCTCTATGACATTATATACTGTCAGATGTTTTTGAAATTATATGCTGAGATTCATGAGTCGGCTTATGCAAGTGTTTCTCATCCTCATTTCCTGCATGCTTTCACAGCATAATAATTTGAAGTTGCTTTGTTTAATATAACATTGTGGTGTAGATACCCCATTTCAGAGGCAATAGTTAACTTCTATAGCATTCCACTCTATGAGCTTGTTGGTCGTGCTTCTTGGTCCCAAAAGGATACGAACATTGTCTGATTGCCTTCTTTCAATGGATGACATTATTGAGTTTTGAACAGTAAAGTTCTGGTTTGAGTTAAACAGCTCGAACAGTGGGATTCCCTTTGTGACTTAATACAATTTGACCAATTGACTAGGTTCCTTGGGCTTTGGATCTCCTGGAAACGGAAGCACTCTTCCCGGACACTATGTGTGGAATAATTCTACCTCGGTCCATCATCAACAGCCGTCAAATCATGTGATGTGGCCCAATTCTGCATCCTTTGTCAATGGTGCTCCTGCTCACCCACTGTCTCATCTGCCTGGGTTTCCTAGGGCACCTCCAGTCATGCTAAACACAGGAGGGCCTGGATCCCACCATGTCGGGTCTGCTCCAGCTGTTAACCCTTCCTTGTGGGAACGTCAGCATGCTTACTCAGGGGAGTCTCCCGACACTTCCAGTTTCCATATGGGGTCACTTGGTAGCAGCATGGGATTCCCGAGTAGCTCTCCACCACACCCTATGGAAATGGCGGCTTCACGCAATATGTACTCTCATGTTAATGGGAATTGTGTTGACATAACCAAAACTGCTGGCATTCGCTCATCACCTCAGCAGCAAATGTGCCATCTTTTCCCTGGGAGAAATCCAATGGTTTCCATGCCCTCATCTTTTGATTCTTCAAATAACGACCGTGTCAGGAATCTGTCGCACCGTCGAATGGAATCCAACTCCAATCAGTCGGATAAGAAGCAATATGAACTTGATGTGGAGCGCATCATGCGTGGTGACGATAAACGAACCACATTGATGATTAAAAACATTCCAAACAAGTATGTGTCCTATCCTTTTAGCCTTGCTAGAACACTTTGTTGCTGAAAATTTATTCATTGAGCAACTATGGGTGTCTATGTTTTGGTATCTAGCTGATTTATGATATGCCATCTTAGGTTACACATTTTCCACTAATGATTGATACTAGCCTAATAATTAGTTGTGGTTACTTCTCAGGTATACTTCAAAGATGCTTCTTGCTGCAATTGACGAGCACTGCCGCGGTTCTTATGATTTTCTCTATCTGCCAATTGACTTCAAGGCAAGTAACTGATTTCCACTGTCCTTGGTGATGGCAAAACACATTCTGTATTGCAGGCCCTCAATGGGACAAATATGCAGTTACGTGCACTGCTGTGTTCTTTCCGCTATCAAACTAATCCCATTCAAAAAATGTGCATGCCTTTCTTGAACAGAATAAGTGCAACGTTGGTTATGCGTTCATCAACATGACTGATCCTCTTCAGATCACTCCGTTCCACAAGGTGTGAAGAGTTTAGTGAATTTGTTATTTTGTTGGATGTATTAAGCAATGATTAACAGAAATCTAGCAGAGTAAATAATGCGAATGCGCCTTTTGTTTCTGTAGGCATTCAATGGGAAGAAGTGGGAGAAGTTCAACAGTGAAAAGGTGGCATCTCTGGCATATGCTCGGATCCAAGGAAAGGCTGCTCTGATCGCCCATTTCCAGAACTCGAGCTTGATGAATGAGGATAAACGCTGTCGCCCGATACTGTTCCACACTGATGGCCCAAATGCTGGTGACCCTGTATGTGATCTAATTTCCTGTGCATTAAGCTAGCATTTCCAGTAACATCACTTGGTATGAAACCCTTAAACCCAAGGGTGCGCCCTTAATTCCATGCAGGAGCCTTTCCCCATGGGTACTAACATTCGGTCGAGGATGGGGAGGCCAAGAACCAGTGGGCATGATGAGAACCACCACCACCACCACCACCACCGCCATGGGAGCCCTTCAGCAGCAAATGGAGAGGATGCTTCGAATGGAACGGACACATCCTCCAATTCTGACTGAGTTTTTGGCCTGGCTCTCATGGCAACTCCTCTAACTCTTTAATGGAAAGCAGCAGTTGCATGAACAAGGTCCCATCTCAATTCTGTACACTAGAGGTGGTTGCCCCCCCCTGACAACTATTTTTGGCTTCAACAGTGACGGCCGGTATTTTCCCGTTCCATCGAAGTTCTGTGGAGGTCCCTCTTTTTACCCCCCTCTTTTTTGTTGTTTCTTCTTGGGGCTTCATCCTGTAACCTACCTTTTGAGTATCTTTATGTAATATGCCTTTCGAGCCCCCGCAAAGATATAGAGAGCAACAGGGCTTTTTAACCTCCATGAAAAGACTCAAAATTTTGGAGTTGTCGGCAAAGACAAAAGTGATTATCGTCATCATCGTTGTCTTTATGGACAGAAGTTCCTTGATGCAGAGGCATGCCTGCATGGCTCAAGAAGAAGGTTCTTCGTTAGTTTTCTTCCCCCTCTGTCAACTCCTGCTTTCAGTTTTGTTGTTTCTTCGGTACCTTCTTTCTGATGTAAGTTAAATGTATCTTTGTTTCTTTTCCCTGTTTTCTTGTGGTTCTTGTTTTTTTGCTTTTTGGGTGTGGGAGGTCTGTGGAAAGAGGGAGGGAAGGAAAGGGAAGAGAGAGAGGAACAGTGGGTCATATGGACATTTCCCTCCCTCATTGTAGAATGTATTTTTGAAGTGCCATCATCATTATTAACCGTATATATAGCATGATGTTACTAATATAAAATTGTGGGTGTTTTATTAATCTAGATTCTCATTTTGAAGTCCAATCTGGGAGAGAAATGATCGATTGTGCTTTATCGGATGTCCCGACGAACTCGATTGTATTAATTAAAGTTAAAGGAATACACCGATATTCTTTTGGGAGATGGATTGTCCATTTGAGATATAAATGTCATACATATGGGGAGATTTTTCCAAAAATAGCACTGTTAAAAAAAAAAATTACAAAAATAGCACCTGTAACACCCCGAACCTTTTCCCGACAAGATACTGTCCGCTTTGGGTCTCTACACCCGCACGGATTTCGACTTGGGGTGCAATTCAGGGTGACTTCCCATAAGGTCACCCATCCTTGTAGTGCTCCACACTGAGCACGTTTAACTTCGGAGTTCTCACAAGAACTCCTCCATTACACCCCAAAACGCGTCTTGTCAGTTAAGGTCGGTTTCCTACTTATGAACCATGGATCTCCCCCGTGCTTTGTCGATGTGGGATTCGCCTAAGGTGTTACAGCACCCAACTCCGAAAAATTCCAAAAATAGCACCCTTTTTGTAAAACCGCCACCAGGAGGTGCGTTTTTCGATGAAAATCGCCACCCGAGGACGCGTTTTTCGATGGAAATCGCACTGGTAGGGGGCGGTTTTGCAGATCGCACCCCCACGATGCGGTTTGTTTGCAGACCGCACCCCCACGATGCGGTTTGTTTTTTTTTTTTTTTTGAAAAATCCTAACCTAGGTGGAAACTTCAAACGAACGTATCTTTATGTTCGGGTATCCGATCGTCGCAATTTTTTTTTTTATTCTGCATAACTTTTTGAGATCTTGCAAGCAGAAGACTGGCAAAGGTGGTTTGGTCCCGCCTTCGTCCCAAAAAATGTCGTTTGCTACCCCGAACGAACTTTTTTCCGATTTCGTCAAACTTTGGACAACCATAACTTTGTGCTCCAAAATCCAAACGACATGATTTTTTTTTTTTTATTTCGCATAAATTTTTAAGGAATACAACTTTTATCATAGACATAATTTCAAACAGTGCTATTTTTGGATAAATCTCTACATCTACATATGGGAGATGGATTGTCCATTGAGATATAAATGTCGTACATACGTTCGTTAGATAATAGATGGATATGTCTATTAAAGATTCATAAACATTATTAACCACATAGTTGATTACGAAGTTGCTCTCTTAACAAAATATAAAAAGAACATATTCTTTAGTCAAAAGAATGTATCCATTTGTTATATGCTTAGAAGTTAGGGATGGCAATGGGTCGGATACGGTACGGATACCCTATATCCACTACCCGCAATTTATGCCCGCGGGTTTTACCCGTCACCGCCCCGCTAAGCCAAATGGGCACAGAATCTGGACCAAGCCCAAGGCCATCCGGATTTCGGTGAATTCACGGGTCACGGGCTGCCCGCCAACATGTAGCAAAAACCATCCTTCCAGATCAAACCAACGTACTTAATGTGATAAAATTAAATTGAAAGCAAGACTTTTAGGACATTCAACCTTTAACCATGAACTTGCAAACCTATGTCTTTGTCTTAAATCCAGAAATATAACAATGATAATAGTTGAACTAAGAAGTGAAATCTGTTTATCTCAGCTAACAATAATAAATCCGAGCTAACAAAGAAAACAATTAAACAAAGCAATCCATGATGTTCCAAGACTAGTTAAGCAAAGCATAGCAGCAGACAAACAAAGCCAAAAATAGTTCAGAAATCCAGCAACAGATCAGCAGATCATCTTCCAGCACAAGTCCATCTTCCAGCAGCAGAACAGCAACGTAGAGAAGCAGCAGAAAATCAGCAGAACAGCAACAAAACAACAGCAGAACAACAGCAGAACAAAAGAGCCGAATAGCAAACCATCATTCACCATTCTTTCCCTAATTACTGCCTAATGGACCAGAATCTGCAATATGAGAATTTCAAAATGTGTTCAGAATTTAACACAGAAGCAGGAAACCATCATTCACCATTCATTCGACAAACCTAGAGCTAGTCTAGCAGGCTGATGACAGCAGCTACCTCATCCTCATCTCCTTTCTGCTTCGATTGACTTCCATCTCCATCTGTTACAAAGCAATATGGTTAGAAAAGAGCATAAACTAAATTATTGAACTAGTTATAGCTATACTAAGAAACCAAATACCAATGCACTCTTCCACCGAGACATCATCCATTGCCATAGCTGAGAAAATCCCCTCTAGAGCTTTTAATTCCGAGGCAGACACTACAAGGCAGGGAAAGCAAGAATTAATTGATTAGTTTACAAAGTAAGAAATGCAAAACACAGCAAAACAGTAGAATGATCTAAAACAGTCACCTTTGCTATCATCTTGAATCCATGTCCTCAATATCATCATGGCTTCAACTGTTATGGGATCAAGCCTGCTCCGATGGGGGTCCAGAAGCCTCCCACCAGAACTAAAGGCAGATTCCGAAGCCACACTTGTAATAGGGACAACAAGTAAATCCCTTGCAATGTCATGCAAAATGGGATACTTGGCCCCATTGAATTTCCACCAACCAAGAACATCAAAATCTGGTGTTCTAGGATGAACATCCTCGGCTAAATAGTGATCTAACTCAGTGGTTACCACTGATGTTCTGGTTTTTTCCCTTTGGCTCACATATAGATCAAAATCCAGATCTGTGGCCGAAGAAGAAGGATGAGAAGTAGAAGAAACAACAGTGTTCTTAGAGGATTTCCTCTGATACTCGACAACCAAGTCAGCAACAACATCTCTAACCCTTTCAATCACAAGGTCAGTACTTGAAATACCAAATTTTGCAGCATAGTACCCAACCAAATCCAGTTTGTACCACGGATCCATCACAATAGCCACAGCCAACAATATATGTATATCATCCCAGTATTTGGTAGACTTATCCCACATGTTCGCAGTCATAGAAACGATCATCGGATTAGGATCCACTAACCATTCCATCAATCGCAACCTCAAGTCACAAACTAGTTATATTGGGGTGGGATTTGTAAATCCTTGATGGCTAGTTATATTTATAGCAAATCCATCATAATTATATCATCAAATCTATCATGCAAACAATAGACTCTTCAAATCCATGATGGTACAAATTCCTCATAAATCCAAAGATTTTTTTAGCCAAAACCCTCATTTTTCAAATCCAACAAGCAAACGAGTCCTAAAATTTTGAAACTTTCACTAGCACTACTTATTGCAGTAAAACTATTTTAGATGAGATTAGAATGGCAAATCTAGATCTCCTTATAATTGGAGATGGTTTTATTCAATCAGTTGCAATTGGTTTTGCCACTCCGTTTGTTTTCATTCCCTTCAAGTGCCGGCCTACCTTAGAAATAGTAGGTTCCCAAACGTTCCGTGTCTCCGGCAGTGTGGTCGCCGGGGAGACTTTAGGAATTGATTCTCCGCCGATTCTTGCATAACGAGATTGAAGAATGAGCGGGGTTATTCCGATTTTGAAGAAGCCTAAAGTCGAGCAAGCTGAAGAGGGAAGCAGAGGCGGAGGAGGAGATGTAGGCGACGAAGAAACCACGGTTGAGGAGCAAGAATCGGCATTGGTAGCTCTGATCGAACACCGTACCCACGAAGTTGAACATCTGCGGAAGCGTATATACTACTATACCTCTCAGGTATGGCGTTATTTTCTCCATCGTAAACCTCTTCGATACCATTTTCGTATGTCAACTGTCTTTTGATCAGGCCATCTCCTTAGGGCTTGCTTTTGCTTTTCACAGTTTATATTCTCTGTTCGTCGGTGCATTCACCATTTCTGGGGGTAGCTTTTGATTCCTTTTAACTCTTTCTTTGACTTAAATGCTGGAAACTAGGAACAATCAAGTGGAACGGGAAACCTTGAATGGTTGTGTTTCATGTCTGCTTTTGTGGCTACTGTGATGTGAGTAGTTGGGGAAATTTCCAATTGGAAATAAATCTTTACCTTCAATTTGGTTAAGAAATTTGGTTACGAAGGAACCATTGGAGAATAAAGAAAGAAACAAAATTGTACTACTTGTAAGGCTTTGAATACTCAGTGAAATATCGCTATACTGGAGTTGGATAATGATTACCCTAAAGGGTCACTGCTATATATGCCTGAGACTCTGAGAGTTCTACTGTGGTGGTGGAATAGCTTTCTGATTATTCATTTGTGCAGCTTGGAGAAGCAGAACAGAAATTGGAAAAGACAAAAACACAATTGGCTCGTCTTAGGAGAGATGCCAGACCCCACAAAACTTCTCTTGAGAATGAGGGTAAAAATGTGAAGCCGGAGAACAGCTCAACTAGCTCCGTTCTTGTTAATGGGAGTTCTTCAAGGAATCAAACTCAGTCTAGAACTGAACTTGTTATTCCTGCTGCGAATCCAAAGGTTTCACAGCCTTTAAAATCAGGAGGTTCTGGCATGAGGGATTCCATTCGTTCCAGTGCTCAGACAAGCTCTTCTACCCAGTCTGATATTGTTAGGAAAGTTAATGCAGAGAAGCCGGGCCGAATTCATTCTGACTTTGACGTGGTTGAAAATCAGGATAAAGGAAGGAAGAGGAAACTGGGTATGACTCTGATTAGTGGAGAAGTTTGTGTAATTTATCTTCTACTATTTTACCTGCATTGGGGACTTACTGCATAATCTAATGTCACCAGAACAGAGAGACCACAAGGAATTAATTCCAATGGTATGCAGAAGCTCTTCACCACATTCCATTTATTGCCATGCCAACAATCACATCTCTAGTCAGCACAAGAGAAAGTTAAGAAGTCTTGCACTGTGTCCAGTGAATGATCAACTGTTCGTTACCAGGTGATCAGCTCATGGATGCATTTCATCCTCATAGTTAGTCTATCCTTTTCTTTTTTCTGTTTCAAATATGTAAACATTGCTTTTTATCACACTAATCTTTCTTGCGTTTGGAATGTTTTTCAGTGCTTTGGATGGATTAGTCAATTTATGGCAACTGCAGGGTAATGGGTCAGTCAACCATTTTATCTTGTTATGTCCATTTCTTACTTTGCCTCTAGACCTGATACCTTTGCAGTCCTCTCTTGTCTTTAAAGTGTCAATTTGGTGAATTGCCCGAAGCTTTTCTTGTAATGATTTCTTCCATCTTCCAATTCCAGGTCAAGTGCCTCTCTTCTAAGCTCAACTGAGTGCATTTCTCCAAAAAATAGGCGGTGGGCTGAAGATATAGCTTGGCACCCATTGGGTGACAGCTTGGTCGCGACTTACACTGCTGATAAAGGGGACTCTCAGATAGCAATCATTCATTTGAATAAGACACATGGGGTAATGATCTCTGGTATGCGACGTTCATAAATCAATTTGTGCGAGGGTCAATCATGTTCATCTATCTGTTTGACCCTATGTTTCCAAACCACTTGCAACTCTTCCAAATGATATGTCTAATCTGTCTTTCACAAATTTGCTTTGGCAGAAAAGCCGAGTAACTTTTCTACAGGACAAGCCTCATATCAAGGGTATTGTTAATGGGATAACGTTTGTGCCTTGGGGAGATCCGTGTTTTGTCACTGGTGGCAGTGATCATGCTGTTGTAATCTGGAATGAGGATGCTGAAAACTCATGGAAGCCAAAGAAACTGCATAGGGATTTGCATTCTTCTGCTGTCATGGGAATTGCTGGCATGCAACAAAAGCAGATTGTGCTCTCTGCTGGTGCCGACAAGAGAATCATTGGTTTTGATGTCCAGGCAGGGAGAGTGGAGTTCAGGAATCAAGTGGATAGCAAATGCATGAGCGTTTTGCCTAATCCATGCGACTTCAATCTCTACATGGTTCAAACAGGGTAAAAATGCAACTCATTTCTTTATCATTATTTTTTTTCCTGTTCTGATTCTTGACTGGTTTGTTACCCTAGAAGTAGGGATGATAATTTCCTGACAGTGTGGGGTGGGGCCAATGTAGTCAAAATCGCGCTTTAAAACTTAAAAACTTACGATTTTACGTTTCTAGGTCACTAAAACGCTTCTACACAAAATCTTAGTTTTTATAGCTTATGTAGTTAAAAACTCCGCATTAAACTTAAAAACTTACGATTTTACGCTTCTAGATCACCAAAACGTTTCTACGTAGAAACTCGCTTTTGACTACATTGGGTGGGGCATGGGTCTTCCTTCTGTCCCACCCCGTTATGTCTCAATTCTCCATAACATTCTTCATATTTTAGCGTCTGGCTGCATTTATTAGTCATGTAATCTTCTCCCTTTTATTTAGAAAGTGTTTTCTATAAACATGGGATGGTCTTATTGCTTCTTTGAGTTGTGTACCCAAATCGGTCGACTATTCTAGCGCCTGGTGCTTGTGGTGTGGGATTATGGGTATTGTTTTACCCATAAACATAGGAATGGACTTATTGATTCTTTTCTCTGAGTTGTGTACCCAAATCGGTCGACTATTCTCGCGCCTGGTGCTCCTGGTATGGGATTATCGGTATTGTTTTACTCGTCCCTCTTTGCTGGTGTTGTAGTAGCAAATAAGCAAAGTCTTGAGTTTGTACAGTTCCTCTATGCCTGAAGGCTTCTAATTTCAGTGTCTCGTCCTGGTTGCCCTCTGACCATTGTGTTTTGCGTATCTCTCGTATACAGGACTCCTGAGAAGCAGCTTAGACTGTTTGATGTCCGATTAAGACAGACTGAAATCCACACGTTCGGGTTTAAGCAAGAAAGCAGTGATTCACAATCAGCGCTGATCAATCAAGGCTGGTCCTCTGACGGTTGGTACTTGTCGTCCGGCTCAGTGGATCCTGTGATCCACATCTTTGATATCAGGTACAACGGTCACCGGCCATCACAATCCATAAGAGCTCATCAGAAACGTGTCTTCAAAGCTGAGTTTCACTACTCTCGGCCTCTCATGATCTCCATATCTTCTGATCTCCAAATTGGTCTGCACAAGATATAGTCAAGTTTCTGGGTTTGCAAGGGAAAAGCTGTCAAGGAGATGTGTGGCAGAAGACAGGGATGCTTGGTGGCTTCCCGCAGGAGAAATTGTTGGGTCGTATTTGAGGATCCGTTACAGCGTGTGTTGAGGCAGGCCGATAAGGATCTGGCTAGGATTTAGGTAAACCTCTCTCACTCTATCAGGGAATTGAATATGGTGGCTGATAACTTGTTATGATTCCGACCTCCAGAAGAGGTGCGCCACTTATCTGAAAGGTGATCAAGTTGGCGTAGCAAGCGAATCACCACTATCATACTACTTACCTTTCGATTTATTAGCTATTTATGTACACATCGAAGCACACGCAAGGCACTAGTATCTGTCTTTCTTTGGTTTTATTTTGATAAGCTTCCCCTTCTGTATGTTGTATTTTGGTTTTATAGAACTTCTCCTTTTGTTTTAGACCGACTCGACTGAGGTAAATGGAAAAGGTATAGACTATAGAGTACAAAGGAAGAAACAAGAGTTTTGACTAACTCGAACAGTTGCTCATACATCCATGTATCAACATAGCTCGGCAAAGCCCTGATTGTCTGGTGAAGGGGTTACTACTTGTATTCTCACTCCTCTGTGTGGATAGTGGTATCAAATGGTAATCCACAGAGGCCAGGGTTCAACTCTGACAGGAGACGGAGAAACTTTTCCTGCTTGATTTTGATGTTATGCTTCTCTATGGTGTTTATGACTTATGAGGCGACCTCGTGTGGAAGTCTTGAATTTGGAGTCTGCTGCTTTTGGTGGGATTTTTCCTGCACAGGTTAAATCCCGAACCTCCTTTTCTGGTAATCAATGCTAACTTTTTTCTCTGAAGTCTTATGCTTGAGGGTCAATGTTCAAGAAGACGCTGGGCGCCACCTAGGCGAGGAGGCACCGCCCAGCGCCCAGGCCGATTAGTCGTTGCCTAGGCGAGATTAAACGTCGAAATTTTTTTTTGATAAATATGTAAGTTTAGAGTGCAAAATCAAACATAACATTCATAAGTTCACTGATTTGCAGTTCTGTAACTGACAATATTCAAGATAACAATTATTCAAGTAGTAACATAGAAGGAATTGACTTTCAAATAGCCTTTCAAATAGCACAAAACACATTTTCAGTAGCCTTTCAAATCATGTCCCTAAATTAGCAATTGACTAGCACAAAACACTTTTAACACTCTCTAAATTAGCAATTTGCTAGCACAAAACACTCTCTAATTCCACGTCCCCACCCCCACTCCTTCTAGTAGTTTCCAACGCCACCTGTCTCGTCCCTTCCAGATGTCTCCCCCTCCTCAACAAAAACTCCCCGCCACCGCTTCAATTCCCCAATTCAACACAGCACAATCATCAATCAAGATACCCAAACCATTTCCGCAGCTAGAACACGGCTGTTTCCGCAGCTAGAAACCCAAACCAAACCATTTCCGCAGCTAGAAACCCAAAGCACATCAAAAGAGAAAGAAGAGTGAGTACCTTCAAATTCAATGCTACAGATCGACGGCGAGGACGAGTCACGGCTGGGCAGTGGCGATGGTGGAGACCGACGGCGCGCTGGAGACTGGCGATGTTGGCGATTGGGTATGGTGGAGACCGACGCCGCGGGACTCGACTGGCGGTGAGGACGCTGCAGCCGGCGACGAAGCCCCCTGCTGGAGGCGGTCGACTGTTGGAGACGGCTGGAGCGGTCGGCTGTTGGAGAAGGGAGAGAGGTGACGAAGGAGAGAGGCGCGGTCGACTGTGGGTGGCTCAACTGATCGAAGAACCCATTAGGGTTTTCCCCTATTCGGCCCATCAAAACGCACAGCATGAATTTTTTTTTTTTCTGGGCGTCGTCGAGAGCTTGGAATCGCCGATCAAAGCTATTACTCGCCGCCTAGGCGTCGTTCAACGCGATTCCGCGTTTATTGCGCCCAGCCACTTCGCCCAGGCTTCCTCCCCACGTTTTCTCCTCGCCTAGCTACTAAACGCGCCTAGGCGAGCGCCTAGGCGAGTGTTCTTGAACACTGTTGAGGGTATCAGTCATTCAAATGCATTTCTTCTTCTGTAATGCTCACTTATTACTTATTAGATAACTATGTTGAGCCATCCTAGTTCGCTGAGTGGAAATAGCTTGTTGTGTTACAGGACAAGCTTAATTGGTATGGAATGTCCAATACCGTATGAACATCCCTCTAAAGTTTGGCATCATCAGTTCTTGATTTTGCACAACTACATTTCCTTGGCTAGGGACGTTTACGTTTTAGCTAAGGAGTAGGAATAGGGTTGTCTTTTGAATTTGGTTTTGCTTTAGTAGTTTGGATTGTTTCTTTCTTTTATAAGTAGGATTGTATGGTAAGGTTATAAATATACAGTATAAGAATAAGGGAAAAAATCCAAAACTACCACTGTTTCAAAAAAATTTTACAAAAACACCACCCTGTGAGAACTACGGATCTAGGCGTGTGATTTAGGGATTAAACGAACTAGGGATTGGGGAATTTAGGTGAGAAAGAAGGGAAATTTGGGATGAGAGAGAGCAGAATCGGTTCCCGGGTTGGGAGCCGCCGAAGGTGAGAGGGAGAGGAGGGGGGTTCGGCCAAGGTGAGTTGGGAGAGAGTTGGGAACAATTCTGTATTATTGCTTGCCCTTGACCTAACATAACATCACATATATATAACCTGACTAATTACTGTTTACTACCCGAATAATTAACCTAACCGAATGAACCCCACAATTCCCCTATCCGACAATATCCAAATAATACGAAATAACAAATAGACTTTCAACAATTATGTTTCTCACAATCCATCCCCCTTGAAACCCACCTTGCCCTCAAGGTGGTCCATGGGTCTTGTCATCCTCCTTCTTGTCCTCTCCTTCAACGCCCCGCTCCATTTCCTCGCCTTCATCCTCCCAATTCCCGACTAGCAACATTAAGTGACTCTTGGCGCACTGGTGGCCCACAGTATACCTCTCATCACAGTTGAAACAACGCCCGTCCCGGCGTTTCTGGTCCATCTCTGCCTGAGTCAGCCTCACGAACCCACGCGGTGGTGCTCTGGCCGGAAATCGAGTCCCGACAGTGGTCCCGGTCGCCGGAGGGCTTGCTGCCGCCGCCGGTGCTCCCGCCCCGGTACTAGCTCCGCCACCTACTCCACCACTAGCCTTCTGTATCCTGCCCACAGAGGATCTCCAGCTTGCTAGCTCCTCTTCCTTCCGCCCTGCAATTCTAAAAGCCACCCGGAGAGATTCCGGCTCGAAGACCTTGACCGTCGTAGCCAGCTCGGGCCCGCCATGCACAGCCCCACCAGAGTTTCCTCGGTCATCTCCTTGCATTGGTTGCCCAGCTTCAAGAACTCCGCCCTATACTCCGCGACTGACCCGGTCTGTTTAAGCTTGGCCAGTTGCTCTGGTGCCCAGCCTTCCGCCCTGCCGAACTGGTACCTGAGCTCGTCCTGAAACCGAGTCCATGAAATCCTCTCACCTGCTGCCGCATACGCCCGCTCGGTCCACTCTCACCACTGGAGGGCATCCCCCTCCAAACAGAAGGACGCCAGATGCGCATTTCTTTCCTCCCTGATAGGATGATTCCGAAACCACCTCTCCGCCGCATACAACCATAAACCCACATCACCGGTGCCATCAAATTTCGGAAACTCAATAACCGGCGGTTTAGCTCTAAACACCAGTTCATCCTCATAGTCATACAGAGGGTTGCTGTACCCGTACCTGTTACCGCCGGATGGCTGCATCGAGTGACCCGACCCGTGACGTCGGTACTCCGGCCCCGCGTTCTGCATCCCGGAGTAGGCCCAGTCGGCCATCTCATGCTGGTATGCCTCTCCACCCCCGGCCTTCGCGCCGGATCCTTGCCCTTCCTCCAGCCTGCGCCCGGGTCGCGCGCCCTCGGCTCGTGGGGTGCCCCAGGGCGGATAGCCAGCCTCGGGACCCTGTCTCTCGCGCCGAGGCCCTCCTCCTGGCCCGTGACCGCTGCTGCCCATCGGCCCGCGCCCCGGTTCAACCCGGTTCGAACTGGTCCGACCCGGTTCGACCCAACCCGGTTCGGTTCTACCGATTCCGGTCCGACCATAATTGGTCCGACCGGCCAGCAAACCAATCGGTCGACCGGTTTGGTCCAGCATGGGTTCAGTCACCCAATTCTGATCGGGCCCATCTGGCCCCGGGCCCATCTCCCATTCCTGCTGATCCGCGAAGCTCATCTCCTCATAGTCCGGCCCCAATTCTTCGAACTTCACTACCTTCTTCTGCCTGCGGCCCTCTGCAATGTCTTGGGCTGTTGGAGCAGGAAGCAGGCCTGGCCCACTGAAGACTGGTGCGGACCCGTCTCCCCTGCCCGCTCCCCCGGCTGGTCTGGGCCCGCAGGAATGGCCGACTCCTCGCCCCATCGGGCCTAACGGCCGTGCCGCCCTCGATCCCCCGCCACCGGCCACCTCGCCCGGCGCCGCGGCCTCCCTGCCGCCTGGAGCCCTTGGCGGTTTCGCCGCCGCCGTCCCCGACGCGCCGCCAGCCTCTCCTGTCGCGGCTCCAGCCGAGCCCGCCGCCCCTGCCGCGGCGTTAGCCGCGCCTCCAGCCTCGCCTCCTCCCCCGCCCGCCGCTGCTCCTGGCGGGTTGGTCTCCTTCTTCTCGGCGGCCGTTGCTACAGCCGCTGCCATCTTCTCCACTGCCTCGGGTCGGTTTCCCGGGCTTGGCTCCTTGCCCTGAAACACGCCGATCAAGACCTGAGTCATGGTGTCAGCCAAGGCCTTGCACAACTTCTCAGTCATTGTAGTACCCATCTCCTCAATCGAGGACGTAATCCGCTCCCCCAGCGCCTCTATGGCCTCGGTCGAGTCTCGGGAAGCAGCAACAGCTCGCTCTGTGGACGCCGTTAAGCTCTCCAACGTTGTCACGACCGCGTCGTACTTGTTATTCGTGATATCTTTCACAGTCACGATCTCCTGGCCTTGCCTCTGCTGTTGCGGTTTGTCCATGTTTGACATCTCAATTCCTGCAGCTCAGTAATCAACACGCCAGCCAGGCTCTGATACCACTGTGAGAACTACGGATCTAGGCGTGTGATTTAGGGATTAAACGAACTAGGGATTGGGGAATTTAGGTGAGAAAGAAGGGAAATTTGGGATGAGAGAGAGAGCAGAATCGGTTCCCGGGTTGGGAGCCGCCGAAGGTGAGAGGGAGAGGAGGGGGGTTCGGCCAAGGTGAGTTGGGAGAGAGAGTTGGGAACAATTCTGTATTATTGCTTGCCCTTGACCTAACATAACATCACATATATATAACCTGACTAATTACTGTTTACTACCCGAATAATTAACCTAACCGAATGAACCCCACAATTCCCCTATCCGACAATATCCAAATAATACGAAATAACAAATAGACTCTCAACAATTATGTTTCTCACACACCCTCACCAAAAAATTTCCAAAAATACCATCGTTTATATAAAACCGCGCCTCTGATGAGCTGTTTTCAATGAAACCGCAGCCTAGAGGCGCGGTTTTATCACAAAACGCGCCACCAAGGAGCGGTTTGACCTTGCATGGCTGTCAAACCGCGTGTCCATGTGGCGGTTCATTAAACCGCTCGCTGGGAGAGCGATCTAACGGCCAAAACGTGTGCTAGCTCGGTGATCCGCGTCGGCCAAGTAAACCGCGTCCCCGAGGCGCGGTTTGACTGTTCGGGAAAAGCAAACCGCGTCCCCGAGGGCCGAGGCGCGGTTTGACTGTTCCGGAGAATCAAACCGCGTCCCCGAGGCGCGGTTGACTGTTCGGGAGAACCAAATCGCGTCTCCGAGGCGCGGTTTTCGTTGGAAAAAATTGACGAAATGGCCCTCGGGGACGCTGTTTGCACCCTATATAAACACCCTCCCCCTTCACTTTTCTGCACACCAACCTCATTCCCCCCTCTCTCCCTCTAACTTCTCCCTATCCACTCCCCTCCCCACCCAAAAACCTTAGAAACGTTTTTTTGTTGGTTGCGGCCTAAGTCCGATCTGCCTCCAAAAAACTTTTCTTTGGTTTTCACTAAAAAATCGTCGAACCTCTGTCCGGATTCCGAGAGAATGGCCGATTTCGCTCAAGAAGAGGGCCTTTTTTTTATGATTATCAAACGGTACGTACTCATTTTTCCCAATTGTTGTTGTTGTTATAATGATTTATTTAATTTATATACTAATGATTTGTGTTATTGTTATGGTATCGTAGGTTGGGCCGGATGTTGATATTTTCAATCAACGATATTATGTTGAGCAAGGACCCATTGATCCGACAGTTTTATACGATCAAGCAAATCATCGTTCAAGAGACGTTTGGAACGACCACAAGGTACATATTATTTATCATCACTTGTAATTTGTATTTTGTTAAAGTAATTTATTTGTACAATAATTTACTTAATTGTTAATCGTATTGATTATTTTCAATAATTTAAATCAATACAATACAACACTTATTTAGACTTTTTATAAAGAAATGCATGTCTAAGGAAATGGGGACTTAAGCGATCATAATGATCCCCCCATGACCTGGGAAAATCGGGTTCTAAGCGATCCTCGGATCCCCCTTTTTCTGTCAAAAAGACTGTGTTTCTAAGGAGATGTATACCTCTCCTAAGAGTCTTACGAGTGTACTTGTATTGCTTTAAATTATTGAAAATAATCAATACGATTAACAAAATAATATATTTGGATATTATTTTAGTTATGTTAATATTAATGTTTATTAGACAATGTATATTTCTATAAAATCGCTTGATTTAATTAATATTGCATCTTAGGAAATTATTTTACTTATGTTAATATTAATGTTTATTAGATAATGTATATGTTAAAATTAATGTTTATTAGATAATGTATATGTTAATATTAATGTTTATTAGATAATGTATATGTTAAAATTAATGTTTATTAGATAATGTATATATAAATTGTATCTTATAATATATTTATATATGTATAAATCATCAACTTATAGTGAAATTTAAATTCTTCTCTAGGATGCATACCATATAGTCCGCTATAGGGGCACAACGAATGTGCTTGAATGGAACGACGTCGTCTTGCCCTTTCTAAAAAGGGCAAGATTGGATTCGATTAGGCATTTTAATGGAATTAAGGTTGACCGCCAACTC